TAATGATAAACAATGTATTTAAAGTGAGACAAGCGCCGTCTTTAAACTAAATTTCAAAATAGTATAAAATGGATTGGATCAGTACATCTTCAGAATGAATTTCGAGTGAATATGCATGCAGGGCCATGAAATTATGTTTCATCAAAACCTTTTGTAGGAATCAGAATCGAATAATATCATAATGATAGATAGTTGACTAGGGACACTTAGAGATAGAGGGAGTTACATCAATGAAAGGTGAAGTTAGATTTCTAGCATTTAGCGCAGAGAAAAATTTTGAATACACGGAAAGTAACAATTTGAAGTGAGCCATGGAAGATGCCAGGGAAAAACGCGTGCGAGTAAAATAACATTTTCTTTTTCAATGAATTTGGAGTTGCAAATCACATCATCAAGTAATGGGAGCTTTTCTTTTTAATTTTGCATATTCTTGCTTCTTAATATATCTTTGTTTAACAGAAAACCCAAGAACAAAGTTGGGACACAATGCTATGTTGCGTTTGAAATACTTCAATAATTGAGTCATTCATTTACTAAACTAGATGGTTTTGGTTGGGTTCTAGAGAGACAAATATATTCTTTTGCTCGTCTATATCGCTATCGAAAAGGCGAGTCTAAACTATTAATCAAATTAATTTTGTATTAAAATTTATAACATTATAACTAATTTTTTTACAACATAAATTTGATGAGAGAACGTTACCTACTTGCATAAGTCTTTTATACAAATTAAACCAGACCAAGGACGATTGTCTTCTAGGTCTTGGGGGACCCAAAATTAAACCAGAGCACCTACCATAGGACCCTGCTGCAACCCCCCCACCCCCAAAAAAATACAAATAAATATAAGGAGCACTCTGTATTGGCATATTCCCCCAAGCAATCCATCCTTGCAGGCTTATCGAGATTGCAACTTGAGTCTTGACCAAGGACCTGGGACCCAATGGCTGCACTACATCACCAGTCATTTTAGGATCTCAAGCCGCCTCACAATGGATTGAGTGGTATCTTGTATTTTTTATATATATATATA